TTCCGTTTTAGTCTATTTGTGATATTTTCCCTACTTTTTTACATATGGTCCATAATTGACATCTGATATATCATGTGCCCATTTAGGGAGTGCCTGCAACTGTTTTGCTTAAAAAAGGACTTCTTAAAGTGATTTTGGAAAAAATGATTAGTAATAAAAGTTGATACTGTTTGAGAAAAAAGTGATTTTGAAAAATAAAGTTGGTAGTGTTTGGTACAAATAAGTATTTTTTGTGTAATAGAAAAAGTAGAAAGCACTTTTCAGCCAAAGTCGAGAAGCATTTTTTTTAAGTAAAAACTATCACTTGAAAATACTAATTTTAATATTTTTAAGCCAAAAATGGAGAATGATTTTTTTAGGGAAAATAATTAACATACCCTAAACTTTGAAGGGGTGTGAGATGAGCACTCCAAACTTGCATATGTAATTTAAAGGGAAAAGGGTCAGATAGGCCCTCAAACTTACATAAAAGGTCAAATAAACCCTTATATAAGAGGCTCTGTCCGGCCATCACCATTTGGGGCGGTTCCCGGTGGAATTTTTTGATGAAATATTTTGAGCATCTTATTCATCAAGTCTAGTTTAATCATACCAAATTTCAGCTAAAAATTCAAACGGGAAGACATTCAAATGAATTCTTGAAGATAACTACGCAGTTAAAAGCGCAATTATCTTCAAGAATTCATTTGAATGCCTTACCGAATTAATTGTTATCTGAAATTTGGTATGCGTAGACTAGACTTAATGAATAAGATTATCAAAAAATTTCATCAAAAAATTCCACCAGAAAGAGCTCCAAATGGCGATGGCCAGACAGAGTCTCCTATATAAGAGCTTATTTGACCTTTTTATGTAAGTTCAAGAGTCTATTTGACCCTTTTCCCGTAATTTAAATATCTCAAACTGTGTTTAAAAGTTATTTTAGCACCATAGTCAAGTATTATTTTTTTTAAAAATGTAAATTTATGTTATTAATTGTACAATTTAAAATATTTTGGAATTCATGAAAACACAATCAACGTTCTAAACTTGCATTGCGAAATAAATAATGTTACCCCCAATCTATATAATTGCAAAACTTTTAATTTGCTATTTTAAATTGTGCAATTAATCCCATAAATTTATACTTTTAAAAGAAATAATACACGACGATGGTGCAAAAATAACTTATGAAGTAATGGCCCAAATATTACTTGGAAGGTTTTAGAAGTCAAAAATATGACCATTTTGAAACTTTACAAAAATCTGACCTAACCCCTCTCTCTGCGTCGAGATTGACGCATCTGGAAGAATCCATCACAGACCTCATTCCTCCATCGTTCATCCATCATCGATCGCAGGCCTCCTTCCTCCATCGCTCATCTCATCGACCTCACATCCAGCAACTATGCCTCTGGCGGCCACCATCGCAGGCCCTCCCCTGAGCCAATTTCTGTTTCTTCCCTTTTCTGTATGGTCAATGTGGAGGTGGATGCCGCCATCTTCTTCTATGGAGGGTTCGTTGTCATAGGTACTGGAGCTCCTAATCTCTCCGTCGCATCTAATCCCAGACAGAATTTGCCATTTCCGGCCACATCTGTTAGAGAGGGGCTGATGGAATGATAGGGAGCGGGGAAGGGGGGTTGAGATCTGGTGCGTAGGGCCTTGTGGGTGGGGATTGGGGGCTAGGTGGGGTCTGGTGCGTAGGGGGATAGGGACGAGGAGTGAGGGCGGTCTGGTGCGTAGGACTGGGGTTGGGAGCAGTGCTGGTGGCTGAGAATGGGACTGGGGACCTGGTGTGTAGGCTAGGGGCTGGGGAGCTGGTGTGTGGGGAGTGAAAGTTGGGACAGGGTAAGGGTGGCGGTGGTGACTGTGATCGGGGCAGGAGGAACGGTGGTGGCTGCCTGGCTGGGCACGGACAGGAGCAGCAATGGCAGCTAGATTGACAGCTTGGAATGTGCAGCTGGAAAGAAGCCGGGAAATTTTCTGACGGCTTAGTGTTGTTGGCGCCGGGCGTCTGAAAAGAAGCCGGGAAATTTTCTAACGGCGGCGACGTCATTGGGGCGGCGTCACTTGTGCGATGTCACTGTGGTCGATTGCGGTGTCACTGTGGCCAGCAGCGATGTCACAGTGACCAGTGGCGGCATCGGTGGTGGCAGTGACATGAGCGATGGCGGCGGAGATTTCACCGCGGAGGTATCACTATTTCCGGCTACAGTGACACGTGCGGTGGCTACAGTGACACGGGCGGTGGCTACAGTGACACGGGCGGTGGCTACAGTGACATGGGCGGTGGTTACAGTGACACAGACGGTGGTTGTAGTGACATGGGTGGTGACTGTAGTTATAAAAAAACAAACACAGTGACATACAATTTTTGAAGTGACATTATGTTTTCTAATTCCAAGTATAACCTTCTTGATCACTTTTTTGTCCCTTTTTAAAAGTGGTCACTTTTTGGGTAATTGGTTCAAAATTAGTAATATTCACATAAAAATTCCATAACTTATTACATAAAGTTTGAGATATTTAAATTACATATGCAAGTTTAGGGTGTTTACTTCACATCTTTCAAAGTTTGAGATATTTTTATTATTTTTCCCTTTTTACTTTTTAAGCTATCTATATCCGGCGGTTCACATAATGGAATTAGGTAAATTATACCGTACAGCCGGCTGTACGGTGAGCACCCTACAGCCAGACATTTTTGTAATCAAATCCTATCACAGCAACTCACTGGCGAAGGACGGCAGTTAATAATTCGCTGAAATCTCATTTCTTCCAATTCGAAGTTCGATTGCTCCCTTTCCCTTCACGTGCCGGAAGTAACTTGAAAACCATTCTGTAGAATTTACAATTCGAATGAACAAATGAAGGGAAATTAAAGGCAGCCGCCGATAATCCAATATAGTGGTGTCCAACTTTCTCAGCCATCTCAGGAAAAAACCTCAAGCAATTACATCACAATCATGAAGCTAACCATCAAATTTTCTACTTCTACAGACTTATCTCCAAATAATTGAAGCTCTATCTAATTTAATTCAAAATAAGAGCTAGACTCATTGAGTTTAGCGTTTTTGTTGCAGGAGTCATTGGGGACCACACTTATTGATCATCAGTTGTTTATGAATATAGAACATATTACAAATGAGTATAACGCCTAAACTGAATGAATATACACAAATGAGTTTTTGGTTTTCCCGATATTCATTTTGTAAGTTGTATATGCTCATTTGGTACATATGTTCTGCTCATTATATTTTAACATAAGACTTGATTATAGATGCAGGAGCTCAGATAATGATGCTCAACCACATGATTCTAATACTCAATAGAGGAAATTTGATACTCAATTTAAATGTATTTATGGTCAACTAAAAAAACTTACGAGTTTCATATCAATAAACATTTTATATATTACATATGCTCAATTGAAACTGATGTTATGCTCATTTTTAAAATGTCATATCAATGCATATTTCAAAAGTGCCATATTACATTAGTTTTGCATATTGAAGTTCATAGGAGTTGATTATAAATATAATTTAATAAGTATTTATAAAAGAAAAAATAAGAAAAAGAAAGTGAATTACAATATATGAAATTGATATCACAATACTCATTATTCGACTCGTAATGCTCAATAGAATACGTTTGATGCTCATTAAAAGTGTATCAATGCATCTAACGATAATGACAATTTTCACTGATATTACGAAAATGACACCGTTTTTTAGTTGTGATATCATCTTTCTTGTACTAACACGGTGCTCATTAAAATTGGACTATTGCTCATTAACAGTACACTAATGCTCATTTAACACAAACCGCGATTTTCACATTAATTGCAAAAACACCACCGAATTATTTTGCCATTTTTTCCTTGGGCCTGTTACTTTCCTTGTTGGGCCGGTGTACGGTGCTCACCGTACAGCCGGTTGTACGATATAGGCACTCATGGAATTAGGCGTGGACCAATCATTGCATGAGACATGTGCACCAAGGATTTCAGGCGGTTACAGAATGCCTCTCGCGATCCCCTTCCTTGCCGTCATGGCCGGTCCTAGGGGGAGGGCAGCAGGGGCGACCGCCCTAGGCCCGAAAAAAAGTAGAAAGAAATTTAGGCCCAAGTTTTTTTCTTTATATGTAATATGAGTAGACTTCTTTTTTATTTATAATTCAATTAATTAATTAGGCCTAATGTGTAATTTTTTTGACAATTTGAGAATTTTAAAATATAAGTAAAAAGTCTTGAACAAAGCTAGACAAGTTTTGAAAAAGAATATAAATTTAGTTTTGATTTTTAAATAGAGTTGGTTGTAAGTCAACATATTTGTTGTAAAATCAATAAAAACACGTCTGTTCACATCTTTTTAGCCTTTAAGATTATTTATTCTTTTAATTACAAAATTACCAATTTTTATTATTGTCTTTGGGTTGTCAGTGCCTCCCAATTCTCAAACATCATCTCAATTATTTATTATGCTTCAAAAAACTTAATGGATTAGCAATTTTAGATATTGCCCATGTGATCTTGGAAAAGATTGTTTATAAAGCAATTATTTATGATTTTACTTCACAATGTTCTTTTGTGATACATGTGTTGTTACTTTTCCAAATACATGTGAATTTCATCTTAATTTTTTGACCTTTATTAGATAGTTGTAAGGAGAATTCCTGAAATAGGAGTAATTTTTTTAGAAATTCAAAATAGGACAGTCATGTGTTTATTTTCTGAATATGATTGATTATTATCATGTTCGGAAAATAACACCATGTGTAAAATATGATACTGCCAAAAATGATATTAATTACTTCTATTTAGAGAATAAAAACATGATAATCTTAGATTGGAATATACAAACGTTTTTAGTCATATTTAGAGTAATTTCTCCTAGTTTTATTATACTCCGTAATTTCTACTTTAAGTAAGTACGGAGTATAATTTACTCTTTGTCTTGAAAATAAAGCCAAAATAGTATATTGCCCATAGGCCCAAATCCTAACATCTATCGCAACCAAATCTGCAGTTAGTACAAGTATGACAGAGGATCTGAAGGAGAAGATGGATTTGAAAGCAATGATGCTAAAAATGGAGGAATTTGAGATTTCAAATCGTGAATTATTTCCGCCGGAATATGATTTTTCCAAGGTGTGTTCCTGCAACGAATGTTGTGCGAAAATAAAGGTTCTGAAGGAATTCGAGACAGACCTGCGGTCTAGAGCGGCATAGTCCAAGCTCGTGTAGATCTAGTGGGTCCAGAACGGTAAGCTTGTGGGATCTTCTTAATGGTCACCTTAAAAGGCTACACGAGAAGACAGGAGGCTCATTGGAGATTAAAAGAAGTAAATCTGAAGATTATTTGAGGAAGATATATTTTGAAATTGTTAAAAAGCTAATGGTTTATGAATTCATAACTGAACGTGATTTTAAAGATGCCAGAAATGCAAAGGTATGGTGATACTCTTTCTCTCAAACGCGACATCAAAGCTGCTTTTCATCTTTAAGAAGACACCCAATTTAAGGATGTCTGTTGGATTCTCAACAAGATTGAAGCCATTGAACACAAGCATGAACAGGACAAGAGATATGCTGAAGAAGAAGAAAAAAGAACGTTGGATTTTTCAATCTCCAAGATGCACATTGTCAACCAAATCAAGTGTTTAGAGGAGTTGCCCATTGGCTAGATCCATCAAGAATTTCAAAAGGTTTTGCAAAGAGTTGATCCCGAGATTGTGAACCCGATCTATAGAGCGGATGATGTGGTCAATGAAACTTACAAAAAAATGATTGGTATCCAAAGGCAGTTTTGGAAACAGTATGAAGGGACTGTTTCCCTCAGAAGCAACAAAGACCAGGGAGAAACACAGCTGGAGTGGATTGAAGAAAGCACTCGATTCATTAGGCCGGCAGGCTGATTGCTTTAACCAGCGGTGGAAGACGTCACTCCATGTCAAGGATCGGACCCTAAAAGGTTAAAGACAAGCACTGGATGTGAGACAATGGTGCCATCTTCATCATCTCTTTTCAAGGGTTAAAGAGATGCATAGCGTATGCAATGAAATTTGATATACCAGATATGGTTCTATGTTATCATATAACTGAATTGTTGAGCTCTATATAGCTAGCTCCGTTTCAGAACATCCAACTTATGGGTTTTTTACAAGTATATTACTAAAATAAAACTTATTTATTACTACAACGTAGTGTTGTGGTAACTTAAAGTTCAAAACTTGAATATGAATTACTATGATTTCATTACTACTCTAGTAACTAGTCATATTTTTGTAAACCATCTTTATTTTGGTCATATTTATGTAATTATTTCATTATGGAATATTGCCATTTTTTTTATTATCGGAATATTGCCATTTAAAAAAAATGAGTATTCATTTTCCAAATAATTCTTAATTATACGACTTCATTATCTTAAACTTTGTGCAAAATCAATGGTGTTATTAAATGGTGATAGAGGAGTACTATATATAATTAATCAATTTATCTATAAAATAAAAAAGTACGTAGTAATAAGTAAAGCAAAAAAACTATTGCAAGTTTATAAGGGCACGACATAAATTTGATAAATCCTTTAAATTGCTTCGCAAAAAGAATTACGGAGTATGTAACTTTTGTATTGGCCCAAACAATATTTCTTTCAATTCTAGCTATGCCACTGTTTACCACCTTAAGTTATTTCTTTTCTAAATGCAGATGGCAGCCCATTACTGGTTACCAATTGTCAACCTTACTTTTGTTTTTTTTCATTTATTAATTCCAAAGGTGAGTAATGATACTCTGTATAAGCAGTATGATGACAAAATTCAGTCTGGCATAATGTACTTGAACTTTTGGAGGCAACATTTTCAAAAAGTTTTTGGAAAATGGAAAGTTCTATAGAACTTTTTGAGACAACTGTTTTTTTTCCTTTTGACAATAGCTTTTAAGTTCTGTATTTACATATCATTCTTTGGATCCAGTGACCTGTGCTCATGTAGATTATATTCAAGACTTGGTTTCTATCTTTATATTTACAAATATTCAGCTCGAACTTCCTATGATCATTTGAATCCCCCATCAAAATGAAGTTCGGGAAGGAATTTGCCTCCCAGATGGTCCAAGAATGGGGGGAAGCATACATAGATTACAACCATCTAAAACAAATCCTAAAGCAAATCCTAGAATTCCGGAAGCGGAATGCCATGTCATCGCCATCAACCGTCTCACCAGGAACTCCAAAGAGTTCAATAAAGAGAAGGTTGACAATGTACAGAGCCTTCAGTGGACTGACAGAAAATTCTCCAGCGATCAATCATGAGGATGAAGCGATCTTAGTAAACACCATGGGGCCGGAGGATGGCAAGGAAGCACCACCTCACTACCAAACAATGTTCCTTAAGTCATCAGAATCCGGAGGGGTCTATGAGCTCGAGTATTTCGAAAAAGTTGACAATGAATTCAACAAAGTCGTGAGTTTCTATTCCCGAAAAGTGGAAGATGTGAGGAAGGAAGCGGGTGAGCTGAGCAAACAAATGGATGCACTCATTGCTCTTCGGGTCATGGTGGATAAACCCGTGATGGGGCTCAATGAAGAAGCTAAGTTGCATTTAGCTGGCGCAATTCAAGAAGAAGATTTTAGGCCTGCCCCGTTGGGAGTGTTGAATAACGTAAGAATCAATGTCAAACCCGAAACGCCAGTATCCACTTTGGCAAGCGTGCTGAAGATTTCAAATTCTGAACTGAAGTACAATAGAGTGGAGCTAAAGAAAGCTGAAGATCAGCTGAAGAAGGCATTCTTGGTGTTCTATCATGAGCTTAGGCTTCTTAAGGGATACTGGTAAGGGTTGGTAATCCATTTCCTAGTTAGGATTTAATAAATAGAGTGCCTGTTTTTTTGCCTCTTTGAATAAAAACTTTATGATCATTGCACCAGTTTCTTGAACACACTGGCCATTTACAAGATTATGAAGAAGTATGACAAGGTATCGAAATTAAAATACAAACGATCTGCATGATGGACGAACCAGATTGATTTGGAAGAGAGTGGGAATTACTCCAATCTCCAAATAAATCTGGACCATCATACCTTGATCCAGAATCTGTAGATCCATTGAGGCATATATAGTCCATTGAAACCTCAAGATATACGCTCATATTTATGTATAGATCACATCAAGGAAAGCTTCAAGGGCATACCTAGAGATGGTTGATAGATCATGTATTGGAAGTTCTGATGAGGTTTGACTTCCTCCTTGTAAGACATTAATTAACTCCATTTCAAATAGATATTTATTCAACCTGCACCGGAAACAGTCTCTCTATGATGTAGTGCAGAGGTAAGACTGCGTACATCCGACCCCCCACACCCCACTGTAGGTGGGAGCCTTTGCGGCACTGAGGTAATGATGAATGAAATGGAAAAATGATTTATTCAACCTGCAATGACGTATTGGTTGTCTTTCCCTTTTGATCCTTAGATTACTAGACTGTTGGAAAGAACAGAAGCTACATTCATTAAGCATTTCGCCAACGGGAACCGAAGGAAAGGAATGTCTTACTTAAGGCCACAAAAGAAACGCGAGAAACACAGAAATACATTCTTTCTTGGTGAGCATAATTGGGTGAATTATAACTAATGTTCTAAAGAGCAATAAGCAGTTACAGGCAATTTAGACCTGGCCTAGTGCATGGAAGGCTTAGGATGTTTTCTTTTGGATTGTTTTCAGTCCCAGACCAGACTTAAACAGACCAAACATAAATAGACCAGACCCAACTTGGACCGTTATAAAATACACAGAGACCGGACATTTAACAGACCAATTCAGACCAGATCAGACCAGAACAACAAATTTCAGTCCAAAAGAAAACATCCTTAGTCGAGCACAACTTTGCTGCAAAAGTAGGCAAATATACAAAGTAAATCATTAGGGGCAGCCCAGTGCACATTGACGTCCCACCACGAGAATGTATACGCGGGGACTTTTATAAGTGTTATAAGGCAACTTCATAAAGAAACTGATATACTTAATAATAGGATAGGGGTCTTCCAACTAAGTCATAATGCATATGGGTGAAATCATACTAAAAGAATTTCAATCCAACTGGTAAGTTAGGCTATGTTCGGCATGTCCATTCAGCCAAAAAAGAGCAGAAATTTTCCAATTCAGTCAATTTTATTTAAAATGGTGGTGTTTGTTTGAAAGACTGAAGTGGTCTTGAACTGAAATAAACCAGCTGAACTCGGACTTAGTCTCACTCAAGTCCTTATAAACTTATTTCTGAGCTTTCATCATCTAACGAGGGATTCTTAAGAGTGAAAAATGAAACATGTATTTTTGAATTGCAGGTTTGTTCTCAGGTTGCTCATTAGCATTGGTTGCAGCTATTCTTGTTTCCATTCGTGCTAGAAACCTTCTTGAACATGAGGGGAGTGGTCAGTTTATGGATAACATATTTCCGCTTTACAGGTTTTTGTACTTGAACCAACTTTGCCTCTCCCTAGTTTTCCCAGATTATTAACATTCACTAGGCTGCGTTCAGAATCAGGAAAATGCCAAGGAAAGAACATATATGAAGGAAAATAAAGGGTGAATATGGAAAGAGAGAATGCAAGAGAAAACAGAGTTAAAAGTCTTGTTTATTTATAGGGGTTTTCATATGATAATGTTAGTAAGTCTAAAACAAAACCCACAGACATTTACGCAGTATATCATTACATGGTCGCTACATTAACTGCAAAAAACTATTATGTTCATTGCACAGTAAATTAGAATATCACCTTGATCAGGAGATCTCTATATTCATGGCAAATGAAACCATCAGTCACTGTGTAATTAAAGTCACATTGTAATCTAATATTTTTACTCCAGGCTTCCAGCATATGTATGCCATTTTTGTGTTATTTATACTCTTAGAGTGTGTGTGTGTGTATTTATATACGGAGTATTATATAACAACTCTGATTCTTGTTTGTAATTTCTATGGTCAAGCCACAGATTATAAAAATCAATTTCCAGAACAATTTCTTCCATTTTCTACCATTTTCCAAGATCCAAACATAGACCAAGTGAACATCAATACATTACTAATAAGCTTTATTTTGTATTGTAGTTTGTTTGGATTTGTCGTCCTACACTTGCTAGTGTATGCTGTGGACATATACTGTTGGAGGAGATGCCGGATAAACTATACCTTCATATTTGGCTTCAAGCAAGGAACAGAACTTGGTTATAGGCATGTTCTCCTCCTTGCTTCGGCCATTTCCGTCCTTGCTTTGGCTGCTGTCCTCTCACACCTAGATATGGAAATGGATCCAAAAACAAGAAGTTTTAAGTTGCTTACTGAGTCGGTCCCGCTCGTCCTAATTAGTGTAATTGTGTAACGCGCTACTACAATTACTACTTACTAGTGCACTGATTGCATTTTTACATTTTGTTTGGCCACATAATTCTCTTATCTTTGTAATTTCTAGGTTCTGTTTGCCATAATATTCTGTCCTCTCAACATTGTGTATCGTTCAAACCGTTTCTTCCTCATCAAATGTGTGTGGCGTTGTATTTGTGCCCCTCTTTTCAAGGTATATATATGTCAAAAGACACAATTTGGAATAGATCATTATAAGAATCTAATAGTTATACTAACATCCTATGAAATCCCTACTTGTACAGGTCACACTGCCTGATTTCTTCTTGGCAGATCAATTTACAAGCCAGGTTTGACTCATTTCAGAGCTGATTTCTCATATGCTACATTATATAGCTTTTCAAATAGGTGCATACTTCAAATTCTTTTTAAACCAAACAGAGTTGATGACATTTTTGGATCTTAATATAAGCTATAAGCTCCTAAGTAAGTCCTACCAAACCTACACTAATAATCAGCCGATCAGGCGCGTGTAGCTAAATAACTAGTTTTTATTAGGGGATGGCGAGGGACAAACTGAGAAGTATAACGAGAGTAACAATAATAATGCCACAGCTAAAACTTGATGAGTCATATAATTGGACAATCCCAAAGGAACACTCCAATTTGTTCACCCCACATTAATGTAGACTCTACACAGGAACCGTAAAAAGAAATAATTTGATCATCTACTGATAATGGAAAATAATCTCATTTTATCTTTTTGGGAAAATCGCCTTTTAGTCCTTTGAAAACACAGGGATTACATTTCAATATCGGTACTATTTGAAGGACTAAAAGCGCGATTTTTCTTATCTTTTTTTTTATCTTTTTACCTTTTCATCTTCCTTTTTATCTCTTTTTTATTTGTTATCCTTTTTATCTTTCTTATCTTCTTTATCATCTTATCTTTTTTATCTTTATCTTTATCATACGTTTATCCAATCTTTTTTGTCTTTTTATCTTATCCTATCTTTTTTACCTTGTTTAGCTCTGATATCATATATTGATTCATGTTAGCTGACCTCCAAATTCATTTGGGACTATGGCTTGGATGTTGTTATTGTTGTACTGGTAATGGAGAAAAAGACATGCAGTCATGCACCTCAGCTTTACTATCCACCGAAAAGGGCCTGGTTCTACCTGCTACCAGTAAGGAATGGTAAACCATTGGTTTGACCAACCACAAAAGAGGAAGAAACGCCCCGCAAGTCTGGTTGTTCTCTGGCCGTACTTGTTCATGCTCATTACTCCCCAACATGTCTGCACCTGATTGCGTAGTGACTCTAGTCAAGTAATCACTAATCAGGTGGTGCTTTTAAGTGTTACCAAGCACCACCTTCATGCCGTTCTTGCCCCTTACTGTTCACAGCTGAAAAACTAGTTACACGCAGCAAAGTAGCTGAAAGGCATGTAGCTAGGAGCTGAAAGTTGAGAGCTCTAGAGGCGTTTGGAAAATTAATGGCTGGTAGTTGAATTATGTAAAGAGGGCATTCCTTATGTTGAATATAGATGGATGCTATTATGCTAAAGAGTGTTATTGTTGTAATTAAGGTTATCAGTGAAAACAAAATAAAAAGCTAGGAACTTGTTTCTGAAATGCTATAGGAGATTGGTTTCAAATAAAAGTACAGTTTAAGCTCTTTATCAGTTTTACTAGACAGGACTAATAGTTTATTTGGAACTTAAAATAAGTTAAAAGCTCCAAATATAATCTCTACCAAACACACACTAAAACATCCATCCACCATTTATGTTTAAGAAGTCATTAACTGCTGCTTTTAAATTTCAGGTTCAGGCCATCAGGAGTTTGGAATTCTATATCTGTTATTACGGATGGGGAAACTTCAGGCAAAGATCAAACAAATGTCAACAGAGTGATGTCTATGAAATCTTATATATAATTGTAGCAGTCATCCCATTCTGGATTCGGTTACTTCAGGTATGGCTAACCAGCCTGACGATCATTATGTCATACTCCAGTTAATTTGTTCAGAAACAAAAGCTATCAACTCATTACTACATTGGATGATGATGATGTTATAGTGCCTTCGTCGCTTTATTGAGGAGAAAGATCACAGCCAAGGGTTCAATGGTCTGAAATGCTTTTCAACAGTGGCTGCTCTGGTTCTAAGGACACTGTATGATCTAAACAAAGGAACAACACTGAGAGTTTTAGCCATAGTCTTCTCTGGAATTACCACAATTGCCAATACCTATTGGGACATTGTTAGAGATTGGGGTCTATTCCAAAAAGGTTCCAAAAACCCTTGGTTGAGGGACAAACTCCTTGTTTCAAACAAAGCAATCTACTTTCTTGCAATTGTAAGTGTTTGTAAAAAGGAACTTGCAGCTACTTTTCTATTAGGTTTGATATTTTAGATGAAATTACAACCCTTAAAATATTACGGAGTATATATTAGATCATACTCCCTCCGTCCCTTATAATTTTGACAAGTTTAATCGCCCATATAGTTACTTATCCATATTAAATACTACATGTGTCCCTTATTACTTTGCCTATCTTTCTTTTATTGGTTGTCCCAGAACTTTGTCATTTTCTTGTTTGAGCAATTAAATTTTGGTTCCTATTATTTAATTTATGGTTCCTTTTTGTTCTCTCTTCTCTACACAAACTTCAAGAACACAATTTTAAGGATACAAATAGGAGTAAAACATTGAAAAAGTGTAGAAATAGGTATAAGTGTATCGGTGTTTTATTCTAAAAATAAGTTACTTAGTTCTATTATAAGAATAAAACTTTTCTAATTAGGAGTGAATAAGTCCTATTTTAGACAGAATATAATGGTGATCATGTTTGTGCACTTTGTCTATGTTTTAGTCCATTAAAGAAACTTTCTTATTTCCTATTTGTAAGTTTTAGGGTTAGAGAATTTTAGGGTACTTTTGAATTTTAAAGGGGTAAATGTAGGCTTCTTTGAAATATAAAGTAATCCCACTAAAACCCTTCCCACTAAAACCCTTGGAAGTACATAAAACTCATCCCAGCCTTCAAAAATATCATTCTTACTTTCTTAGTCATCTCATTTCTGCTTCTTCCACAACAGCCACAGATCTTCTAGGAGCTTGTTTGGCATGGAGCCTACTGCTTCATTAAAGGCCACACAAAGCCTTTGTCATGTTTAGAAGTGGAATAGTTAGAAAGATTTTAAATGTGAAAGTCATGAAGTTTAATATTTTATGGATTTTATGTGTATTGTATGTAATTATATGCATACATATAATCTTGTACTCACCATAAAATTTATCTAAAATAGCTGTCATCCCGCTATTCACTACCGGCTATACAGCTATAGCAATTTCCGGTAGGCCGTTCTGCTCGGCTGTCCAGGATTGACAACACCGCATCTTACATCATTGGTTTGATGAATTTTTTTTAATGCAATTTAAATGCAGGTAACGAATATGATATTGAGGCTTGTATGGATGCAAATAGTTCTAGATTTTAACCTGCCATTTTTACATAGAAAAGCCACAGCTGCAATTGTTGCTTGTCTGGAAATCATTCGCCGAGGCATCTGGAATTTTTTCAGGTTAGCATAGTTAAGCCAGTAGCCTCATTGTGACTTTCATATGCGGAGAAGGCTTATTGGTGGAGTTTGTTTGTTATTTCACTGAACAGGTTGGAGAATGAGCACCTGAATAATGTCGGAAAGTTTCGAGCATTCAAGTCTGTGCCCCTGCCATTTAACCATGAAGACAAGAGCATATAGTAGCCAGCTACTTCAATTTGCATTCTTCTGCTTTAACCGTTTTTGTTGATGGATGTTCTTGGACTCTCAATTCGACCCGCCTAATCCCATCTCTTGATTGGCTACTTTTTTTTATATATTTCAAATTGGATCGATCTTTTGCTATAGTCCCACTAATCCTAGACTCCTAGTCCGATTTAAATGTCAAGCTTTGAGTTTTTTTATGGGTTTTATCATTGGTTCGTTTATGATGTTTTAAATTGGAATCAAAGCTTTTGATCGGGGTTCCGATCTAGTCTGCTAAACGGTGGCACAATCTAGTCTGCTAAACGTAACGCCACCTATATGGTGCATGTAAATTTTACTATTATGTATATATATGATCTGTTTAAATCTATTTTATTTATTCTGATCTAGTCTAATCTTCCGATTTGGCCTTTTCTGAGATTGAAACAAATCCGATTAAAAACTTTCTTAGTGAATCGATGGAGTATAAATTATGTTTTATAGTTCTACCCTTAGTAATAAAAACCAACGGAAGTGCATTGGAAAAGTTCACAAACATGTTACATTAAGAGCTTGTGTGATAACTCATATTTTAAGTATATCAATCAACTATTTTATCAAATATGTAACTTTTGATTTGAGTTAAATTGTGTAATTTACAAAATAATTAAGGTTGAAGTTAACTATTCTTCAAAAAACTATTTTTTGATATTCTTTTACATATTTTATTAATTAAGTATGGAGTATATTTTAAATATAATTTTTCACAACTAAGCTAATTGAAACAATCCAACGCTCTAGTTAGGAGTTCACAAATTTCAGCAAATTCAGCTGCTTGAGCCAAATCTAGTGTTACAAACCTTATATGTAGACCTGAATAAACAATTCAGTAGTTTTAGTTTAATACCAAGTACTTTGTACTAGACAATGTGTTACTCCCTCCGCCCCCTTTTAAATGTCCCGTTTTATCATATTGGGATGTCTCTATTTAAATGTCTCATACCTTATTTGATAAAGTTTGTGTGGCTCAAAATCATTCTTACTTTATTCTTACTTTATCAATTAATATCAACCACACAAACCCACTTTTCTTAAAACCCGTTCCACCCTCCTCCGGGACATTTAAAAGGGGACGAAGGTAGTATTAATTATTTAATTTGAAAGTTACAGTCAAATCTTGAATACACGTGATTTAAATAAAAGAATTTTGCTTTGTGTACACGCCCGGTTACATGCCGAGTTACACACCTAAGTGTAATTGTCTGTGCGCAGACAATTAAACTTGGGTTTTAGTAAAGGGAAGTGTTTGTGATCCCGAATTGTCTGTGCACACAGACAATTCATTTTTTAGAGTCAAATACACTTCCCTTTACTAAAACCCAAATGTAATTGTTGTGCACATACAATTACATTTGGTGATTTGGGCGTGTAAGCCGGTGTGTAACTAGGCGTGTACCAGACCAATTATATGCTTTGCCATGATCCTGCTTATGCTCCACCTTGGTGCTTGGTTTTAGAACATGATAAATGAGGTGCTCTTTGTAATGAAGGCAATACACAATGTCATCATTCTATACACTTCAGAGAGATACAAGGAATCAAATCAACAAATTCTATATTCTCATTCACAACCAATTGAGTCAACGAAAAGAAAAGAAAAGAGAAACTAGTATGCCACCCCTTCGGATTTTGGCCTCACGTTACACTGTATAGGCTATCATTTATTACTATGAAACCATATACTGTCTCGGAATTTAAAAGTCAAAAAACAAAATGAGTTTCTATTTAGGGGAACGAGAAACTTTAGCCACCTGGTTTGTCTCTTCTTCATCCCGAGAGCTAAACATGGTATCGGAGCCAGAAGAGTTCTCTGCAGTTACTGAACCTGTACTATCAACATCCCCCAAGAGAGATGAAAATGATAATGGGTTTGAAGTTGAGCTTGCCTTCCGTAGGCCCTGTATGGCTCTTATTGCAGCAAGTGTGCTCCTATATATGTCCACATTTTTCTCCCCAAGCTGCAATTTAGTGTCTCGGGAGATGTTTGAAGCATTTGAAGAGGAAGCTTCCGGATGATCAGGGACAGAAGGAGCACTTTCCTCAATAACTTCTGCTTCTAACGGAAACAGAAGCTCAAGGTTAGCCTCGCACTCACGAACTAATCTGGTAAGAGGTTCAGTTGTGAAGAAAGGTTGGTGAACAGCATACTGTGTGAAAGGCAGGCGCAACAATTCCCCGGTTCGCTTATCATACTTCTTAAGGATCTTTACAAGACCTGGTGATCATCATCATGGCACAGACAAGCAAATTACAAGTTGCATCACCACCATAGTTTTTGTTTGGTTGGAGGGTTGGAAGAGGGGGAGAATGTGTGGAGGAGCTACAAAATGCTTCAGTTGGGGGGGGGGGGTTAGGGGAAGGGGGAGGAAATTGTGGGGAGCTATATAATACTCCAAACACTTCATATCTCACCATGTTTTTGATCTTTCACTTGTTTTTAACCAATATGGCTCATTGATTCTACATCACTATTGTTGTACATGCAGATTATTACGGCCTCAATCTCAAAAGAAAGTCATGTTTCATCAGGATGTTGCTTTTAAATTTTATTACGGTACTACTGGGGAATCATCAATTCTATCTGCATTTCAATTTTTTGTTAGTTTACTAAATATAATGAAAAATAGCTTTCTTCAGTTAGGACTCTTTTTGGGACAAACCGACAAACACAAGTTTTCAAACGTGACTCTGCTTTTATGTGTGTGGAGTACATTTTAATTACAGAAAAAGTACATTAATACCTTATCTTTACATATTTTCTCATTCCTTCATCAAAACAAAAATATTTTTTTTAAACACTTCCATTTTCCTCGCCTCCTCACTTTTGAACCTAACAAGAGTTTAATTTTCTTTTAGTAGCAAATTAGCAGATAAAAAAAGAGAAAAGGGGAAGCAAACACTTTACCTGCAAAGTTTAAGGAGCTATAATTCTGAAGTAAGACCATCTGCCCATGTATAGCAACAAAGTCTTTGCGTATATCCATCATTTCCTCACTGAACTCACTCTCTGATGTGAAAGCTACATCTCTTCCACTCTTCTCCTTCACCCTCTCAATTCTTTCCTTCAGTTCCTGTAGCAACTATTAGCTTCAAACTTTACAATTCAGGACCCCATACCATTTGGTGATCGACAGTACTTTTCGTAGTGAAGCTTATTACTGAGTTAGAACATAAATCTAAATTTGATCTATTCAGTTTGAAACTTGGAATCTCTTTGTTGGTATATTCCCCCCCCCCCCCCCAATGTTATCTCCTCCTTATTTCTTTCATGTGTGTTTTCCCGGTTCCAAATGACCAATTGTACAAATACTATCAGGGGCGTAGCTAGGGGCGTAGCTAGGGGGGCAACCCTGGCCCTGGACCAGCCCAAATTTAAATAATGTCTATGTTTTTGGAGTACAAAATTCTGCGTAAACATTTTTTCAAAAATATTCTTTGTACCGGCCCAGTGCCCTGGTTGGCTGGCTCCGCCCTGCATACTATGTCTTGCGGTTCATCGTGTATTACTGTTCAAAGCATATAATTCAATATTCATCTCTAAGACACACACCATGTCATTTAATTGCCTTAAAGTACCACAAGATTGGCAAAATATGCATAATGCAAACTGAGAATACTTGGTAGAGGTTCTATTTTATACTCCAGCATACAGAAAGAATATCCTCAGGGTGGAAATTTGATCCCTTTTCCAACTCTTATATATGCCACAAGAGGACATCCCATTTTAAATGAACAGGGGCACTTGTATATTCTTCTTATTCCTTTCTGTTATTCACACATACTTCTAAGCTAATCATTATTGCATTCCAGACACTTCTTGGATTGCCGATTGAATTTTCTTTTAGATTTTGCGTGTGAAAAACAGTTTATGGTAGCAGGTAGAGCTCACTGCATCTGTTTCCTCAATCAGAATTCCTTCACCCTTCTTGTGTTTATTAAAACCCAGATCTCTATTTAATTCATCCTCTAGCTCATCATCACCCACGGTCATCATGTAACTTATCAATTTAAAACTGTTTGTTATATGATTATGGTGGCGCTATAAGAAGGTGAACAAATACTAAAATTATATGCAGAAACTGGAAACCTGATGCAACCTTATCAACAACAACAAATTGGACGGAAGTTGAGATTTCCTTAATATAGAATACCTCAATTTTCTATTTTTGGAAAACTGACAAGCAGATACAGCACTGATTAGGTATCAAACGATAAGACGTAAAATTTTGCAGAGGAATAAAAAATGAAAGAAAACCCTAAAACCTATGAATTGACGTATGTGGCAGAGGAAAAAGTAAACCTGAAAGCGAATAATGAACTCCTCTTCTTGCTCGACATAGAAATCATTGAACTTTTCGAGATCTTCACCTAGTAATCTGATGAACCAGTCATGGAGCTCAGGGGGCTGGGGTGGATGGAAAATGTCTCCACCAGTTCCGTCGCCAACCGGATTCAAGGAGGAAGAGGAGTGGGCAGGGAGGGACTTGAGTAGCTTCTTCAAGTACTTGTATCGCAGGTATTTGTCCCTCCATTCGGGGAGGGTTTCTTCCAGATGTACCTTGAATTCCTTTCCGAACTTCATCAAATCAATCTGACAACCAGTTTAAACTAATCCACCAAATGGTATACTCTGTCACATGAATCAAGGATAGGCATGGCCTTGAACAGTAAGGAAAGATAAATATTGAATTTTTTTATATATGGAAGTATTTTATTTATAAAATTGAGAAAAAATAAATGAAAATAACTAAAATGGTGTTTGTCATAAATATTACTACCTCCCTGACTTAAAAACATTCTCATTTCAAAAGTAGGTAGATTAAGAATAGTGAAAGATGATATGAATTATTGAGGGTATGATGAGAAGTTAATGGAATAATGTGATGGAATGTAGGATAAATCCAAAAAAAAGTAGTTGTAATAGTGTATACCATTTGGTGGATTTTTTTGTTACTGAGGGAGTATTACCTCCGTCTTATTATTATTGTCTCATTTCATATCCACTTGGTCTACATAAATCACTCTTAAATTCTTAGTTTGTACTACGTATATCAAATTTTTATCAAATTTGATTCTGGTTTTGTGACTTTTTAAAGATTTTAATGTATTTTCTGATTATGTAATTTCTTTCTCCTAAAAATAACTTGAGTGCAAACCGTGGCAGACTATAATAGTGCACTAAAAAGTAGATAATGGACAAAAAAGATATCTTTTAAATTTAAAAAAGAAAATGTTTGGCATACACCATTTTACATATACCTTTGACAAACATTGTTTGTCTAAGCGGACACAGTCGTCTCTATATACGACTTCTGCATTTTAATATGAACTGTCGGTATACATATAGCTTATGTATTTCAATATGAATTGTCTGTATGCAGATAACCTACGTATTTCAATACGAATTGTCTGTATACAGACAACTATGTTTGTGTACAAGACAGGATGTGTCAAAGGTGTACACAAAATAGTGTACACCAAGCATTTTCTACTAAATTATCCTCAGTAAATTTCATTTGACAGTGACATGACTCGTCCCAGTGATCTGTTCCGTCCAGTGAAGTGACCCGATCAATTACAGTTACCTCACTCGATTAGTGATAGTTACCAGATCGGACTAGTTACAGCTACTCGACCACATATGTTACTGTTCGTTACTAGACCTGACCATGGTTACCCAGTCTTATATGACCAACACCAGCCACTGTCGTTGACCACCACCTCCGGCCACCATCACCTCTGACAGCCACGATGGCCGCCGACAATGACACCGGCCTCCAATAACCACCACCCTTGCCCACCAGTAATCAATGTCGGCCAATGAACTCCGTCATTCATGACCCCCAACACTGACCACCAATATTACCGATTCTGATGACCACAACCGTTACCGATTCGGGTGACCACAGTCGTTACTGATCCTGATGACAACCGTTGTTAACGATTCAACTGGCCGCTCCCACCCCCAACCGGACTCCCCAACACCCTCGCCAACAGCCAGCCTCCCCATCGTGCAACCATTTGCAACAGCCCCATTGGAAATTATAATCACACATAGTCAATTCCCACCACAATTACCATCGACCCCCGCCTGCTGTTAAAGGTCGTCATCTCCACAACCAATTGTTGATTCACATCCCAATCATGAACTAGAAAAAGAGAAGAAGAACGATCGAGGATGGCACGCAATGACAACGTAGAGACTAGGAGAAGGAGACGAAGATGATTGTGAAGCGGCGAAAAGGGGTGACATGAAGCTCAGAACAGAGAGACGGAGATGATAGCGGCGATTGACGCATGATAAGTGATGAAGCGGTGGCCTGCAGGTGAGCCCGACTAGCGCGTAGCGCCTTTTACAACATTGAACAAAACTCACGTAATTTATGGTAAATATTATCACCACAAATAAAATTGATAACATCTAAATGGTCGGTATCAGCTAAGTTTGCTCAAATCGATGAAACACCGGCTGATGCAGGTGAATTGAATTGGCTGAGTATGCTAAATTATGATATCAAAAAATATAATATCAGACAATTGAAACAAAAAAGTAACTTCAACCTTACTTATTTTGATAATAATACAATTCAGCGTGTGAAATTAAAAGTTGTGTGTTTGATAAAAATTGGCTGATAACATTGATAAGTTGAAAATAGGGATTATCAAACAACATGTTATGTATTAATATTTACTATTTCAAATCACATTAATGTGACACTATCGGGGCATTCCCCAGGTGTTACACAGTTTTTCTAGTAATTCTGTGAAAAATAGGCTTCAATTATCAAACAAACAATAAAACTCCAATTTTATTTATTATGTCAGGTAAATATATTAATGATACTATGTTTTAGAGAAAGACCGAATTTACTAACTCAATACACAAACTTCTTACAAGAAAATTCTATTCAGTCACATTGTTTCTATTCACAACCACTTAAATTTATTTTAATAAATAATATTACCCCCATTCCAGTATGAATGATTCAATTGTGTGATTGTGAATAGAACTCCTTTTTTCCCGTCAAAACGGGTGACCTAAATTCAAATCGCAACATTCAGATAGGATTAAAATGACAAAAGAACCACATGCAACCGTCAGCCCTCGAACCAGACTTAGAGTTAATCACCTCCAAAAAAGCAATATAACTCGTTGATCCTATATTGGGCATAAATGAGCCAACGACTGTTAAAGCAAATCTCCCATCACCAAATCCTAATGCAAGAGTCTTACAACAATAAAAGTAACCAACAAAAAAATAAACAGTCTGATAATGAAAAATAAATAACAAGCAAACAATAAAATTAAAATACTGCTTCCAAACCCTAAACTCTCTTGCACTCCATGACGGCAGTTCAGGAGGGGGGCGGTCCAACAATATTGTAGCATCTTCCGCTCCTTGCCTCCGGTCTAGATCTGTTCCAGCCCATAGCCTCACGCTTTGTCCATGACCTTCTGATCTCAACCATGAACAACATACTCGAAACTCTTCACCTGTTGATAGGGGTACACAACCTTTGGCCGTCATATAGGTGCTGCAGTCTGCCGAATAAGACAGCCTCACGAAAGGTGGACGAAAGCCACACAAGAAAGCCGCACTTCATCGAAGACGAAAGCGGAGAAAAACAACCCCTAACTCAGGGAGACAGCCGCCTATAGAGAAAGCTCTCGCCTAGAGAGAGAATTCGTAAAATCCATATGACTTGAATAGAACTCCTTAAAAATGGTTGAGAATTAGAGTTGCAGTTGGGCTTAGAACACTACTTGAGTATGCAGTATGTACTATGTACTATGCAAGTTTAATGGGCCAGAAACGAACCGAATGGACTTGGCGTTCAAAATGTAAAATGCTAGCTAGGTCTTCTTCCATATTTTGGAGCTTCTTCCCTTTAAATCATAGCCGTTTCATCACCAAATTTGACGATGCCCTTCAGGATACACCACACAGGCGGAGCGTCTAATTGATGTCTCTTCCCCGTTTTTTCCGGTAGACATCAGATTTACTGATATTTAATAGTAGCTGTAGCAGTAATTCATCCATTCAATGATTTGAAGAATGATTATGCACTGTACGTAGGTTTCTGCGGCCGCTTAGCAATTGCCCAGACGCCTATTGAAAAGTGCAGAAAGTGATGAATTAGGGCTTCGCTTTGCAGCTTCAACTCTTCTCCCTTGTTGTTGCTGCCTGTTCTGCCCTTACATTTCTTCCTCTTCACAAAACTTCTTCGTTCTTTAGCTGTTCTGGCTAACTGTGGTGGAGGGGATTTAATTAGTGCACTTTACTTTGTCGAAACATGGACAGAATTAGTCTTTTCATCTTTTAGATTATTTTTTGATAGCCTGAATCGCCGATAAGAATCGGTGATGAACTGTTATGGAATGTTGACGTTTGAAGTATTGAGAATGGCAAAAATAGTTAAACTACTGCAATGGACTCTAAAATTTCCAGGGATAATTGGGTTTTAATTCAAAACTGCCGGTTTAAGGTCTGAAGACTGAACCACTGTTTAGTTCTTTGGCCTGTTCGGGTTGTGGGGTGGAGAGACCAAAATGTAAAAAATGGATTATGTATGTATGAAAACAATGCTTAGACTTGTTTATTTTCTTATGTATTTCAGCATCGTCAACAAAATACACTTAGTGTATTTTCTTATATATCAATTTTGTAAAAGATTAATTAAATTATTATATGTAATATTTTTCTTTTAATTTTTCCCCTGAATAATTATGAAATAAAAATATACATTTTGATGTAAAAGTAAAAAATCTCTCTTTCCCAATATAAAACACACACTTTTCTTTTCAGGCTGTCCCAATATAAAAGACATATTTCTCTTTTTGGCAAACAAAACAGTTCTACACAGTGTCCAAACAATGTCCAAACAGTGTCCAAACAGTGTTCACTCTAAAAATGTATGGAAACGCAAATGTGTCTTTTATATTGGGACGGAGGGAGTATTATTTTTTTTAACATTTTTCGATTAACAACAATGAACTTAATTCAAGTAAAGTACAATTATGGAATATTCAGTTATTTGTGAAGATTACATGAATTAAAAATTTGTGTTTACCGTTCTTTTGGCTTCAAAGATAATTTCATCAGATTTTTTTTCATTTTATATATTACAGATATTTTTACTTGAATTGTAATTTGATGGTCCAGTCAGGTCTGGTTTGTTTAATTTTGATCTGGTCTGGTAAACGTCTGATCTCTGTATATTTTATAACTACGGAAGTCAAGTCTGGTTTGGTTTGGTCTATTTAAACTCGGTTTGGTCTGGTCGGATCTATTTAAGCTTGGTCTGATTCGATCTGTTTAAGTCTGGTCTAATCTGTTTAAGTCTGGTTTGATTTGAGACTAAAAATAGTCCAAGTAAAAACATCCTACATATTGATGTTTATGAAAGATCATAAAATTCATAAATTTAAATATATTTTTTGAAAAATTTGGATTTTTAGTGAAGTAGAGATGATGCTGGGATTGAGATAAGGGCAAACATCAAACCTACACATGAGCTCTTTCCTCTCTGGTAAGCACCCTAGATCAAGAACCCACACTATTCAAAGTTTGCTTGGCATGAAACTTGTTGCTCTTCTAATAAAATATCTTGGTGTCAACCTTTACAAAGGCATCAATAAAGCTGATGACTGCATGAATATTGTTAATCAATTTGACTCTAAAGTCTCTACATGGAAACGAAAAAATCTTTCTCAAGGTGGCCGTTTAGTTTTAATGAAGCATGTCCTAAATTCTATCTCTTATATTAGAAACTATATAACCTCTTTCCTCTAAGGTGTCGTTAATGCTAAGAGCATCTCCAATGGCAAAACGTTAACGATGCATACGTGGCATGGAAAATAACCAATTAAAAAATAATAAATACAATATATCTCTCCTTATTTGAAGGATCTTACACCATTTTGGTAAGTTTTTCTTCACAATGTCAAGCACAATGTCTAAATGTAGACATTGTGATTGACATTGCAGACAAAAACTTACCATAAACACATAAGACCGTGGAAAGAAGGAGAGAGATATTGTATTTAATGTTTTTTAATTGGTTATTTCTCATGCCACGTATGCACCGTTAACGTTTTAGCATTGAAGATGCTCTAAGCCTGAGTATCACTGGTTAAAATGGTCACACTAATGCTTCCCTACTGAGGAGGGTGATTGGGTATCAGGGCTCTAATGACATTGAAAAAGCTTTTCCGTTAAATTATGGTGAAAATCGAAGACTAGTGATTCTTTGTGCAGGGCCGAACCCTCTCTTGAGGCAAAGAGGCAGTTGCCTCAGGCCCAAAAAATTTGGTCAATAATAGGGGCCTATAAATAATTTAATTCTAGTAGTATGTATATACAATTTTTTTCTATTTTATTAAGATAACAACAATATAAATAGTATTAATCAAAATAATATCATGCAACTATGTGGGATTAATTATTTGATGTAGGCATATAAATTAAATTAGTGCTTACAAATCTTAATATCCAAATTTTACATTATTTAAGGGCCTTTTACAAAAATTCGACTCGGGCCAAAAAAATGCTAGGATCGGCCCTGTCTCTGTGGTCAAACTTTATCAAGGCTAGATATCCTAGAATATGCTCCATAAATACCTTGGTCAGCCCATTATGTGGGGTTGATATTGATGGCAGCTTCTTTTGGGAACATGAAATTGATGGCAAGTTCTCTTTCAGCTAGGCTTATGTGGTGGTTTGAGATAAAAATCACACAACTTTCTCTTATAAACATCTGTGGTACCCCTAAATGTTAAGCTTTTTAAATGGAAACTCTTCAGAATTATCTTGCTGATAACCTAGGTGGATTCAAAATGATTTTGAACCCTTCAATCTGTCCTCTTTGTAGGGCTCATTCAGATTCTATTAATCATATCTTCTTCAATTGCTCCAAAGTTAGAACTATTTGGAATTATTTTATGAACATCTTTGGCATTCCTATTTATCAACCACACAAACACTATAATGAGGCGGTTTTCATGACTTGGTGGCTAAAGGTAGGTTCTAAAAAGCTAGCATATTTGGAAGACCTATGTGACTATTCTTTGGGTTTCGAATTGTGATCCATTTTCTAGCTCAGATTAAAATTTACCCTCACGATTGAATTTCCAGTATCTTTACAATGAAGATTGGTAAGGTTGATGACTTCTTATATGAGGAATGGATCATTCCTCACTCATATAAACCCTCAAGGCCAATGATTCTGGCCATTAGATGGAACAAGTCAATGCAAAAGCTGAAATTAAACACGGATGCTAGTTTTTTCAGGGTGGATCAATCCTCAGAAATTGTGATGGTACGATGCTCTTAGCTATGAGGGCTTTGAATGAAGTTTTTTCTGGAGAAAATTGTCGAGAATGAGACTCTTTCATTAACTTTTAATATAAATAGGACCTACTTAAAATTTGTTCATCCGTATATCTTAATTAATCCTGTTTTAGGAAACTCAAATTTAACTTACCTAAAATACCCTCGATTGTTTAAGACGCATAATAGCCTTCCCCTTTTAATAGCCTTCCGCTTTTATTCCTTCTGCTAACCACTTAACCGCCTACTGCTTAGTCCATGGAAGGAAACATGATCCTTCGCTCGATCTTCTTCAAACTTCGCTCTAGAGTTTCGCTGAGTAATTTGCATCACTAATTCGAACTCAATCTCCATCAATTGCGATTCAGTATATCTATTCCGAGAGGAGTTAGCTGCAAACTACCGATTGAGCTTCATCACGATTTCTGGCCCGTTTCTTCTGCGATTTTGTCTTGTAAGTTTGTATGTATTGTGTTCTGATTACGATTTTGTGTTCGTTTTTTCAGAATTACATTGTTTATGAATTTCTTCATTTAGTTATCTTCATACTCTGAAATTATATTCCTATGGTTTATTGTGTACAACACTTCGAGATTATTTGGACGTTTTATCAGTTCTGTGTACTGCACTTAGACATTCTCCTGCATCAATAGATTTGAAGTTCATAGTACATAAGTTTGTGTATTAGTGTTCTGTCTATTGTTCGTTAAATCTGACTATTACTATTTTTGTTTCTGCTTCTTTTCTTAGTTTTTTTCATTTATTTTTTCATACATGACTACATCATATATTTATCTGTTTTGTAATCACAATTACTTATTCACATCAATATATTATGTAATGAGTTCAATATGATATTTGAATTGATTTATCTGTTTTTACTCAGATCAAAACAACATGTTGATTATGCTAAAGGTGGATGGAAGTTGGGATGAATCCTATGTTTTCTGTAATAAACGAACTTGTGGTCTCATAGTTCCAGATGAGACATTATATGTTCGTTTTATTGCTTTGGTGTACATGCATTGGTTCATTTGCTATGAATGAAAAGTTGAAGATCAGTTATTTGGTTGAAGAATGTCCTCCCCCAGTGGTTGTTAATGATGATTACAGTTTGTGCTTTTATTTGGCTCTTAAAAAATCACAACCTGATTATGCCAAGTATCCTTTGTGTGTTGAGTTGTTTCCACTCTCTGTGTCTACTGCTTCCCACTTCTCTTCACAACTTCCTGCATTTGATTTAAATGTGGCTGCAAATGGTGAATTTGATGATCTTGAAGACACTTCTATCATGCATCATCACACATTTCACATTTCTTCTCCTCAAAATGAAGATATGTCTTTGGATATGTATGCTACAAATGCTGATATTTCAGTTGAGTCTGATATTTCTGGTTCTAGCAATGCAGTTTCTTCACCTACATCTTCAGGCAGTGAAGATCTTGCTGTTAATGAACACTTTGATTTAGACTATTTTCATGATTTTCAAGATATTCAAGTAATCTGTCACTTTCATCCTACTCGTATTGCTAAAGATGCTATCTACCAGGATAAGAAATCATTAGCCCATCATTTGAAGATGTATGCCATTTCAAATCTTTTCCAATATCAAACAAAGACATCAACTAGAAAAGTCTTGCATGTTGTTTGTGTTGATGATGAGAATTGTGATTGGGCTGTACGTGCAGTGAGGTTGAGTGGATCTCAAATGTTTCAAGTAAAAAGGTAATTTAATGAGAATTGTTTGTGTTTACAATCTGATTTTGTACTATTTTTAACTTATTGTCTAATTACTGCCTTTTTAATGACTACTTACTGTTGTACAACTTCCAGATTTGATTCTGTGCATACATGCTCACTTGATGTGAGACAAGGTCCCCACCGCCAAGCTACCACAGAAATTATTGTTGAACTCATCAAACACAGATATGCGGATGCATCTAGAAAACCTTATGCTCCGAAAGATATTATTGTTGATTTAAATAGAGATTATGGTTTGACTATACCTTACAAGAAAGCTTGGCTTGCAAACAAGAAAGCTCAAGAAAAGTTGATGGGTTCAGATGAGCAATCATATCAATTGTTACCCTCCATGGCTTATGTTCTTAGAAAGAAACATCCTGGTTCATTGATTTTGTTAGATGTTAGGGCACATAATCGGTTTAAGTCTTTCTTCATGTCGTTGAATGCATGGATGGAAGGCTGGAAACATTGTGTTCCGGTTCTTATAATTGATGGCTCATTTATGAAAGCGTATTACAAGGGTACTCTATTGACTGCATGTGGTCAAGATTCTAACAACCAGATTTTCCCTTTGGCTTTTGGTGTGTGTGATACTGAGCGAAGGAAAACATGGACTTGGTTTTTTATGAAACTGAAGGAGTGTCTTGCACATAGGGAGGACATGTATATTGTTTCAGATCGTCACGATGGTATTATACATGCAGCAAAAGTGGTGTTTCCGCATGCTGAACATGGCTACTGTGCGTACCATATCCTAGGGCTGCCACTCCTGCTCAATTTGAAGAGTATATGGCTTTATTAGATGCAGAAGATCCCCGTATCCGTGATTATTTGAATGAAATAGGTGTTGAGAAATGGGCTCGCTGTTTTGCTCCTCGTTTTAGGTATTCTATAATGACATCTAACAACGCCGAGTCAGTGAATTCAGTGGACCGTGTGCCTCGTGAGTATCCTATAGCAAAATTGATAGACTTCTTGCGGGGAAGGATGCAAAAATGGTTTTGTGAACGTCGTGATTCTTCATCAAGTTGTAAAACAATTCTGTCTGACCATTTTGAATCTCAACTTCGTTCTTATCATGCCGAGGCAGCTCTTATGAGTGTAAGTCTCAACTACGTTCTTACCTTCTGCCTTTTATTGCATTCTTATCCTTTTATTATTGTCATCTTTCTGCACTATTGTTTTAAGTGTAACTAATGTTAGCAATTTTTTTCTTGTTTTAGGTCAATCCTGCTAGTCAATATGAATTTGAAGTGGTGGACAAAACATCCAGAAGCTTTGTTGTTAATCTGAAAGACAAAACATGCTCATGTTGTGAATTTCAACTAGATCACTTTATATGTGTACATGGAGTTGCAGTTGTAGGTCATCGTCGAGGTTTATCGTGCTATGTTTACATCTCAAAGTTTTATTTCACACGTGAGTGGGTTGCTGCTTATATAGGGGAAGTTCACCCTCTTGGTTCTCGGTGTGATTGGGGTGTTCCTGCTTCTGTGGCATCTGAAATATGCAAGCCACCTACATGCCTCACACGCCAACCGGGTAGACCTAAGAAGAAGCGTATTCCTTCAATTGGAGAGTTTGGTTCCAGGCAGCGGTGTTCACGGTGTAAGAAAGGCGGTCATAATAAGAAGTCTTGCAGGAATCCTATCCCAGTCCGTGCTTCATAGTTTTATGTGCTTTTGTTTTTTTCCCTAAACAAGCAATAAATAATTGAAAGACATTTATGCTTTATTCATCACTATTGTTAGCTGCCACGATTTGTTGGCATTGTATTCTATGTTCATTGGAATAGTACTTTGGCGTTTCATTATAATTACTTTTTTTTTGAATCTTATGTTATTCATACTGACTTTATTGATTGGTAAAATGCAACCAAGTTGCTGCTGTGATGAAAATTATTGTCTACTTATGTACTACGTAATGTCTACACGAAGACCATAATTACACTCATTGTTAGTGAATCTTTAAAAGTGGCATCTGTAATTGTCTCTTCCGGTTTGTCTTTCTTCTTAACTAGTATGATTCAACTATCGTTATACACAAAAGTGAACAATAGCACCAAGGAAGTTCACTATTGTGTTATTTTAAGCTTCTTCCTCACATGTTCAACAATCTTCATAGCTGGATGGTATTATGAGACATCATGATGCATATTCTTGAGTAAGATGTTTGAGAAATCAAATACTCAGAAAATAAATGTCATTGAAATTTATGACTTGAAGTTTTAATGTCTAGAACTCAAATATTAATGACTAATTAGTGTCCGTTTATGGACTTTATGAAATACTTTAACTAGATTTCGCAAAACTTCACATTAAACACATGCTAAAAGCGAACAAGCATCACATATGGTGCTAAAAATGTAGATTACACATAGTCAACCCAACTGTCTTGAATACTTAGTAACAATACTTAATGACCAAAACAAAGAATTTTCAGAAATATATTTGTTCCCAACAAAATATTTATTACAAATCATCAAGTCCAACTACTGCCTTCATGATGCATACATCAGTAGCTCTGTCGTCATCTTTTGTCGGTACATCTCTATGTCTTGCTTCGAAACTTCACTCACATCTTTGTCCATCATGAGAAACTCAGCAAATTTGATAATAAAGACACCACAGTTGCCCCTGTAAATGCATAAGTATTTAATATGAAGTTAAACATTTATGATGTATTCAGATATGTGAAGAATAGTTAAATTATTACATGACGTACCCATCATCTTGTTGTGGACAATTACGGACTATATCTACACGAATTTTGCCCTTTCCAATTTGTGCATTCGGTCTTTTGTCATAAACTCCCAACCTCTCCATTACTCTTGGTAAGAAGGTCTCCAAGCAAGGAAGGAATGCCCTAATCGTTGCCAAGGAATCTCCTCTTCTCTTTAGGGAGTCATAGACTCTGATACATTTTCCATTAATGTCCAACACCAAGAGTATCCAGTGCATCCCTATGTTCAGTGGCATGTATACAAAGTCAGCTTCTGCCCATGGCAACCCATTTGACCCAAGCATTGTGTTCATTATGTTTCCATTAGAAGCTGCCTCAGTCATTGTTGTTTTGTCATTAGTGACCATTTCACACTTCAACTTCATCACCCCAACAAATAATGGGTCTGTTGTGGCATATTTTTGCTTGATTTGGTACTGTTTTCTTTTCACTCCTAGGTAATAAAATGCCACTGCAATATGCTGAAAAAAGTAACAAAATCAATTAATAAATTATTTTTATGCATCATATTATTATAATTTACATGTGACATATGTTGATATAAACTTACCATGTCAGACAACCAACGTTCATTTGTGAAGAGGTCATAAATCCATGTCTTTGTTGGTATGATGAAATGATCTAATTGTATACCAAACTTGCATTCAACTATTTCTTCATGTTTTTTTTTGTACTTTTTGGGGACATTACTTGAATGGTTTTTTACCAGGCCCTCCTTCACAAATTCTTTTACCTTATCCAAGTCCTCTGTAGGTGGCATTTGCTTTGGGTCCTCACTGAATGGTCCTTCAAATGTACTCTTCTCAGAAACTTGTGTTTCATTCAATTTTTTTAATGCCTTTTCCATTTTCCTTTTCTTCATTTCTGTTGTGGGGTTAGGAGTGTATCTATCAGGACTCCTAGCAGCCCTTTTTGACCTTTTAATGACCTTATATCTTCTTCTGCAATTTGAACTTTATGTTCAGCCTGTGCATGTACAACTTCCTCATCAGTTCAAAAATTCACTTTATCAATCATGCTGTCTATTCTACTTTCATTTTGAACTTTTGAAATTTAAAGTAACTACTTACCTTATCTTTAGAATTGTGAGCATCCATGTTCTCTTGTTGTCCTTTCTCTTTATTTATTTCATCACGTTTATGTGATTCACTGTCTGCTTCAATGTTCTGTTCTTCATCTTGTTCAAGAGTTGCTGTTTCTTTTGAATCACCAGCATCAGCAGTCATTGCTTCATCTTCCTATAATAACGTAACAAAAATTGTCAAGTCAATCATTACATAAATAAATTTATTACACAAATAGCAATTACCTTTGTTTGCTTCAAGTCCTTAATGACACTATGAATGGCATTGTCAACATGCATTTCCAACTCTTGTGTGTTTATGCTTGCTTGAGAAGGAGTGAGTATCATGCCATCTTCATAGATTGCTGAATTCTCTTTTTGGGCACATATGGGATTTGCATCCTCACTTCCAAGTTCTTTCTTATCCTCAATGCCTAGACCTTCAGCCATCTCACTGCCTATACCACCTTCTGCCTCCTCACTTCTTAGACCTTCTGCATCATCCTCACCGCCTAGACCAGCTTCATTATTTTCCATTGTTCTTTCCTTCTCTTTCTGTGTTAGATCCAGATGTAGGTCAAAACTTGGTATATTTGAGACCAAAATTGATTTATCTATTCCTCCTGATGCTTCATGAATTTGCACATGGATTTCTTCTTCGCTCCTTTCACCTTCTGCATTTCCGGTGCTTTGAAGCATTAAAGCTTTCAGCATCTCTACCGCTTTTGCCCTTTCAGAACTTCTTGTATTCCATCTTCTATTGATTTCATTCTTCTCTCAAACTTTTGCATCTTCTTTGATTGGAGCACCACTGCAGCCATTATGTTACGCATGATTGTTGCATCTCTGCTTTGGTTGCCAGCAGTTTTTTTTCTTTTAATCAAACTATTTAACCTCTTTAATCCAATTGCAGTTGGACCCTTGGCAATTTGTTCCTTCAAGTCAGTATCTTCTTCATTAGGGCAATCAATCTGTGCTGCTTCAGACTCCTTTTCGTGAACATTCCCATTTTCTTCTTTACTCCCTTCCACAGAAACATTTCTTTTCTGTTTTGCTGGCCCATGTTTCAAAGTAAGACGACTTGTTCTGAGAGGCTTATTGACCTTGTTTGCATACAAAGCATTTATCAATGGATTCTTAAGCTCGTCTTCAGTTGGTGCCATTTTCTGATATTCAAACTGCAGTACATAAGAGAAATTATGCATACAATAAGTTAGTGCACATCATCAAGCATGAATTAAAATTACATATAATGTCACGGCCCGGACCTATCCGGACACGTCAACAACCCGCCGTACAATACGAATAGTCAACCGCAGTCCAACACATTCATATCATACAAGGCGTCTTGAATATCATTCACACATATACATCCATAAACAAACATAATAAGTAATTCATAACGCAGCGGAAAACATTGTTTAAAACAAAAGGGCCACACATGGCTATTCACGAGCACGCAGGCTCTATCGTAAAATATCCATGAGCATGTTTATTAATGTTTAAAAACCGAATGGAGGAAGCACGAACCAAGTCTTCCCTCCTAGATGATCACTCGAGCAACGAGCACAGGAAGCAAGCTCTAGCCTCAACCTGAAAAATGGTAGTGGGACGCCCCCGAAGGGGTCAGCACTCTATAGGGCTATAAAGTGCTGGTGTGGATGGCATCTAATAGATATACAACAAGTATTTCAAACACAAGACCCTCAAATAGGGTGATAATATAATCTAGGCCGTAACCCCAAGTTACCCCTTTTCAAAAATATACTTACTTTATATATAAAGTCAAGTAGTCGGCCCGTAGGCCCAAGGTTTGTTTATCAAACATAGCCCAAAACCCCGTGACCCCTAGTCACAACAATACATAGGGTTCAACCCTAACACATATATTTGCATTCTCGAGTCCAACTCGACTACATCACCATGCATCTTATTTAACACAAGTTAACTACTCCACCGTGCATTTCTTGAGTCCAACTCAACTACATCACCATGCACAACAATCACCTCATCATGTCTACCCAATGCAATTCTATGAGCACGGGCTCAAGTACATCTCCTTACATTGGCATAGACCCCAATTCCTAAGCACTCACTATGCCTAGAATTGTAATATCAATAATCTATTTTGGGACATCCCTACGGACTGCCCAACCATAGTCTTAGCATCACATTACATCAAATTTGTCACTTGCATCACAATCAAGTACATCAATTATAATCAAATCCTTAGATTCAACTCCCTTAACAATTACAACAATCATTAACTAGTAATTCAATACTATTAAGATTATTCTTATCCATCATATATTCCATTTGTAAAACCCTACATATTTAGAGATATGTAGCAGCAACTTAATCATTCAATGTAATACATAAATAACCATTTATGTATCTACACAATTCACATATGAGTAAATGCCTATTTCACACAATAGTTCATTTAACTCCATTTTCATCAATACTTTACCAAATCACTTCCCATTTCGTTCTTTGGAAAATAGATCAATATTTCATCAATAATTTATCATCATAATCCATGGAAAACATGATTTAGGCATTTAGGTAATCTCATGCTTAACCTACAAGTTGTAAGCAACTAGATGTCGATCCTCACCTCAAATGAGCTTTAAAACTTTCCTTCTCGATCCAATGACCAAAGCCTCGGCCAAGGAAGATTGAGAACTGGTTCCTTGCTTGAAAATGGGTGTTAAACAGCTTCCTCAAGTTGCTAATTCAACCCCTAACCGTTGATACGAAAACAGCCCCTAGAACGGGTGTTTTCCGGCTAACTCGATTCCTAGTTTTCCAATATTTGCTTTAGGTTAGTATCTAACCTTTACATCAATAAAAATAACTTTACAAGGACATATTATACACTTGGATTAGTGTACAATAGTCCCACCAATCTTTCATATCATTTGGAAAATGAATGGAAAGGATTTGGGATTAACAACTCACTTAGAAGAGTAAATCCGTTCCTGCGAGGTCGCGTTCTGCTCGGGCGATTTGGAAGCCTTCCTCTACTCCGATTGATGCAAACCAGACCTTCACGGATTCCTCGTCTTGAGAGCTTTCTTTTGGTATCTCACACGCCTTAATTGGATTGGTAAAACTCGAGATATCAACCAAACAGTCTCAGCACTCTCACAGCTCGGGTTCACAGACCACTGCTCGTTCCAGATCGATTTTTGGATGATTACTCTCTCCTCTCGAACAGAGACCACTCAATTATAAAAATAGACTTCAAAAGCTATCCAAGGACACCTCATTCACCTTATTTGGCCGAGTATAACATCACTCATGAAGGGAGACAACCAGCACCACTCTTTTGTGCGAAAATTGACTAGGTGGGGTTCCCTCTTGTTTCCTTTGTCAAGTCCAGCCCCTAGAGTCAGCTATGGCAGTCTCCTAACCTTATTTTTCTTGTCTTGCAGGTGGAAAAGAAGGGATGGGGCGCAGCATGTGTTCCCCAATTATTTTTTTGGGAGCAAAACATTAATCAATACATCCAAAAATGGAAGAATGGGTCCTATTGTTTTATCTTTTGTCAAAGATGTCTTTTTGTACTCATCCTAACTTATTTAGAACAAGTCAACTTCCTACATAACATTATTGATCTCCAATATGTGTAGGCTCATCTCAATAATTTACTTGATGGATAATATAGAAGGAAAATCCTACTCCCATTATTTGGCTCAATAATGCCAAAGATGGGGTTATAGGCATTTGTACTTTTCTTTAATCATCCTATCACTTATTTTGACATTGTCATTCATATTATTGGGCTACAAGCCGTGTGGGTCGCCCCGAGTGGGCCTACGACGCCGTCCTCAAATATTTGCTATTTTAGCGGGTTGAGCCCAAAATAATATATGGGTTGCCCGCCCTTCCTCAACTTGTCTTGAAACGTTATGTATAACTATTTAGTTAATGCTAGGATCTTTTATTTATTAATAAGGCCCAAACGAGTATTCGCAAGCCCAACAATAATGTACGAGTTCGAGCGGTATAATAATCGATCATGAATTACGTAAAACATCAATCGTTTTACAATTGTTTGGGAATCAGAAATCCAATACATAAACTTTGAATTTTAAAATCAAATTTTCAAGGACGTTCGGGTGCGGTGTCACATATAATACAGACATTAAAAAGAAATTTACCTCTTCATTCAGAAATATGACATCTGCTAGTGTTGCAACATTAGTTTTCTTTGGTGCAGACCACTTCAGCAATCTAGGAAACAAATCGTTCCTTTCTTCCTCTAACTGGCAAACATGTGTCGTTCTAAGAGCTGGGAAACTTTCAAATGCCCATATTTGCAAGGCAAAGACAAAACCTGGAAATGTGAATCTGTCTTTTGTGGCCCTTTTAATATTTTCTGTCCACTTAGGCACTTTTTCCAATAAATCTTCCCAGATTTCATCTCCCCAAGGGTACTGGTTCACTAAATCAAGATTATCTACCATGTTGATGTAGATTGCTGGGCATTTCACTGTCTTTTGGTTTCCAATTATGTAATTGGAAATCAAGTCAAGAATAGCCAGTTTTACCCTATCTAAGGGCTGCTTCTCTACAGGTATATTATCGAACTCCTCAAAAGCTCTGCTTATGTCAGCCCTTGTAACATTACTTCTTCCATTGAAAAACCTTCTCCAAATGTCACCCATTACATTTGTCGGTATTATTGGTTTCTCTCCTCCCATCTTGAACCCCGTTATTAATGCCAGTTGTTCCTTTCTAAAAGCCACCAACCTATTTCCTATATTAAAGTAAATTTGGTCTTTCCAAGTCTTCTTGTTAACCTTTTTGGCATGGTTTTCTACCAGCAGAACAAGCAGTTGTCCATTCATCCACTCTAGGTTACCTATTTCCAGCCATCCACCAAATATGCTTTTTCTGAATTCTTCAAGTTGGTCCTCCTTTAATAGCTTCCTTATGGTTTCAATGGCAGTATGTACATTTGAATAACAGTTTAACTTTAACTTCTTCTTGGTCATAAGAACAGGGTTTGTGCAAGATCTAACAATTGCCTGACATTTTAGTATTAATAATTTCTATAAGTACTATAATCATAAGGCATAATTGCACAACAATACTCAATTTATAAATTTGAATTTACTGTCTTATAGCACAACTCATATATCGTGTAATCTAACATCAAATGCTTCATACCTTAAATCATATGAAATAAATGATATGAAATATATGTCAATATAGTTGTTTACGAAATTTATATTACTTTTCTCAAATGAAGTCATTGAATACATTACCCGACCAAATGGAAGTATAAATTCTTTCTCCTCCTTTTTGCTGGGACTTGGCATCTTTGTGTCGAAGTCGCTTTCAGAGTTTTCTTCGTTTTCTACATTTTCAACGTCTGCCTCATTGTCGGCTTTCTTTCTCTTTGCCATTACTGCCTAAATTTGCTTTCAGAGCTTTCGTTTGGTCGGAATGCTTTCCGTTGGTCGTCAAAACTTGCTCGCTGTTCGTCCGTAGTACGCCATTTGTGTAGTCAGTTGAAGCTTTCTGCAGATTTGGAGACGTTAAATGAAATGGGGCTTGCCGTTTTGAGTTGGGCTCGCGGTTTGTAGTCGGGCCTGCGGTTTGAAAGGAGTCCTCTGGTCCATTTGGGAATTTAAAAGTAAGGGTTAAATGGTCATATTAGCTCAACTTAAGTCCTACGTGTAGATGTAGTCCTATTTTTAGAAATTTCCTATGTTTATGTCCTATTTGTAAAATTTTCCCGTTTTTTCAGGGTTTGAGGTTGAAATAGATTCCAAGGCTGCTATGCAGTACATTTTGGATGGAAGAGGGTGAAGATGGAAGGATGAAATTAAGGAAATGTTTCTCAATTCTGAGAATAGAGGAGTTTCTTCTCATGCTAACTGGACAACACATTTCTTAATTGACAGACCAGTCTTCAGCCCCATCAAATTATTTTCACTCAAATTTCAGACTTGCCGGCCCAAGCTAAAAATGCATATTATATGGATCTATTTGGGGTGTCTTCTCTTAGATTCTCTCATTAATTTATTCTTCATTATCTGTTTTTTCTCTCTATATAGGTTTTGGTCTATTCCCCATCTCTGTATATTCATTTTCATTTTTTAATAATACTCAGTAAATGTTCCCCGTATTTACCCCATTGTTTTTGGTGGTCCATCTTCCAGGTAAAGAAAAATAGAAAAATAAAACATTAATTTCAATGTAAGAACAATGAAACCAAGAAGTCTAATTGCTCAATTACTTTACATTAATAGTGAACAATGTTCTAAAAGGCGCTAGGCGCTAGTCGGGCACCAGCCCAGTGCCTAGTGCCTAGGTGGCCAGGCGGGTGCCTAGTCGGGGACAAAGAAATTGCATTTTTATCTATATTTTTGCATAAATATGATAAGTAATATTGTGTTTTTGTGTGTATAAAATACATATATACATATACATTAACAAACATGAATGATAGAATTATCATATTTAATCATACGTAGTATATGATAACTAATCACTTAACTTCATTATGTTATAAATATAAGTAATGATGAAATTTAGGTATATATATAAACATATATAGTTTTATCTTAATTTACAACTTCATATCTTTATATCCACAGCTAAAGATAAAAAGTAAAGTAATGTTCGGCGAATATAGACGGCCTAGGCGGCCGATTAGGCATTCTAGGCGGGCAACTAGGCGCCATAGACGACCGATTAATTAACCTAGACGGCAAATCAATTAGTCGGAGCGCCTAGACGAAAATCGGGGCGCCCGACCATCACCTAGCGCCTAGGCGGGGACTAGTCGGACGCCTAGAACGATTTTTAGAACAGAGATAATGAATATGTTTGTTTTGATATTAATGCCATAAAAATGTTTTGTAAAAACAATTTTTTTGGTATAAAAATAATTTTTTTTTCTAAAAAAAACTTCTTTTTTGCAAAAAAAAATGTTTTTTTATGTGTTTCAATAGTAGAGGTTTATTTTGTGATGTAACTGGTGTTATGGAAAATATAAATCGCATTGATAAAAATCTAATTTAGTTATGTGCAAAAGTGTAATTTGTTGAGACAAATCCAAATGCAACTCACACATAGGAAGAGTAACTCACGCGTAAAAAGATGTAACTCACGCATAAGAAGGTATATGCAACCTTATGTACTATCAAATGTAATTAATGGAAATAAGAAGTCTAATTGCTCAATTAATTTACATAAATAGTGAATATGCTTTTTTTTAATATGAATGACATAAAAAATGTTTTAAAGAAAAATCATTTTGTTGCCAAAAAAGTATTATTTTTGTCCTGTTGTTTTTTTGTTTCAATAGCATCAATTGATAAAGAATAAAAAATAGATTGAGTTTTAATTTAAGTGACAAATAAAGGAAAAGTGAAATTATAATTACATTTTTAGTACTCCCTCCGTATTTTAGTGTTCACTACATTATCTTGAAGACATTATTTGTGGAGTAAAGTAATAGAAGTAGTTAATAATAAAAGAGAAGATAAAAATTAGATAAAGTAAGAGTAGTTGATTATTTTATAAAGGGTAAACCAATGAAAATGAAAGTGTATGAAACTTTTAAATACAACCAAAAAAGGAAAGTGTCGAAAATTTTAAATACAAGAAAATATATGATAATATGATAGGAGAAAAAGAGTTGTAGAACAGAAAAATAAAAAAAGAGAAGTTAAAAGATGGAGATAATTTGCCGGACCCTTTTCGCGTTCTAGCCACTCCATTCCAATTTCTGGGAAACCCTAGAGCCTGTTTGAAGAACTCTGTTTTCGGCTTATCAGGCTTATAATCAGCCAGCTTTTTCACCAAACACGTAACTTTTACTTTCGCGCGCTGAATTGTGTAATAAGCCGAAAAAGTAAGGTTGGAGTTACTTTTCTGGCTGTATTGGCTGAAGTTACTGTAGAGGACCATTTTAGCTATTTTTACATATAATTTTTTCTTTAATTTATTAATAAAATATATTTTTAAAATATTTTTTTCTTAAATGAGCAGAATCATCCAAAACAGCCACTCCAGCCAGAATATCATAAATTTCAGCAGAATCAACCAAAACAGCCGATTTTGGTGCTACCAAACGGGCTCCTAATCTTCTCTTCTATCTTGCCGGCCTTTCTCCCGCTGGTTTCGTTTTTTGATCTCAGCTCCTTTCATAGCAACCAACCGCTTGTCTTTACAAGAATATATACGAGTATTACAAGAAAAGACCATCTGAGAGGTGAATTTCCCTAATACCTACATTCTCTTTTAAATGTAACATTGAACCTTTTGTATTATTCACATATTTTATTTTGATTATATTTTATTGATTAATGTATTATAAATTTATTTTTTTAAAAATATTGTTAAATCCTTATCATTCTAAATTTTTGAAATATGAATTTTTAAATTGTTTTTACTAATAAGGAACGAAAGATATTAATAATCAAACTTGTATGTTCACAAAAGTGAAACGTTAGTGTTGCAATTAAAAGTCAATACTACTACTGACTTTGTTTTTTTATGATGAAAATAGTAAATATTGAAAAGTTGTCTTCTCCTTCCGGGCTTTGTGTCATCGTAGTCACATACTACTTTTCTCCATCACTTTTACATTTGCTTGGTTTGAGAAATAATGCTTGAGTTCATAGTTTTTCAACACTTGTCATATATTGATGGTTAGGAAGGAGTGCTCCGATCCATTTATATTTGATGGAGCTTCTAGATCTGTACAACCTCTATCTTAAATTGATTTGCAAAGTTCACATTTTTTGGACTGTAATTAAAACGTAGTTACTATTTTATGTAGATCTAGTGTAGATTATGGTAAAAGTATCACTACTTCTATTAGCTTGAAGACATTTTTTGGACTATAAATATCCTCCATATTTATAGTTGGTTCAATTTTTAATAATTAAAATCTACACATATTAAAGCGTACACATATTTCATCAAGAACTAACTTAAAGTGTTCAATTAGCCCCTTAAATTATATAGGAGGTTCTGCCCGGCCGTCGCATATTGGGGCGGTTCCCGATGGAATTTTTCGACGAATTTTTTTGAGCATGTTCTTCATTAAGTCTAGTTTACCCATACCAAATTTCAGCTAAAAATTAAATCGAGAAGGAAGTCAAATGATTTTCCGAAATGTACTGCACTGTTTAACTGCACATTTATCTTCAAAAAATCATTTGACTGCCTTCAAATATTGAATGGTGAGCGAGATGAATGGCCTGATAAATTCCAGTATATTGCGTACGCAAAGGTCAGTCTCCAATCTGAAGGGGACAAGTTTTCTGCCACGCTCCTATCACGATGTTCTATTGAGACTGGTTTCTATGTTCAGAGTTATATGTGAGTACATTCATTTCTATCTATATCTGATCAAATTGATTAGTATGCATTTTTTACCCTTTGATTTATTTTTTTATTTACCTGTTGCGGTATGTCTTATGAACTTGCATCCTCGACTGTGCGGAGGAGTTGCTTAATTTTTGTAGTTGTAATATTTGGTTATTTCTTTTCAATCGCTGAGGACAGGTTTGTGAAGGACTCAATTAAGAGTGCCATAAAGGATCAAGAAGACAATAGAGACGAAGAATACCGAGCACGAGAAGAAGAAGAAGGGGGCGCTCATCAAATGAGGAATTGATTCTTTTGCCCCCAACATATCTTTGTAAAAGTCTATTGTTTCAACTGTCAAACTTTATTTGATTATTCATCTAATTAAATTTTTTCTGGCTCACAAAAAGACTTGGATGAATACAATCTTGGATAAGTCCGCTGATCAATCCAGGTAAACACCCTCATTACCAATACTAACTGCTCTTGCTTTGAAATTAATCAATCGCCTTAACGTATGGAATGATATTCTAGTGTTCTTTAGGGTCAAGCTCTCCTTTTTTTCCTCTCTATACATTTTTTTTGGCAAACCTACCTACATATTTATTTGCATTTGATTTGTATGCTTATTCATATATGGTCATGGAATCTGGAGTATATTTTCCCCCAGTTGGCAAATATGCTTATATTGTTGCAATATTGCTAAACTATTCTTTTAAACAAAATGGATGTTGTTAAGTTGGTGGAACTACATTCTTGCTCGCATTGTTATAAAAGTAATGGAACTCCGTAACATTTGTCAAAGCCGTCAAGTGGTTTTTTTTATAACTCCAGTTTATTCCAACATTATTTTGGGAAATACTATACTTTTAACCCAACAATAATTTAGTAATTAGGGAGTATTTCTTTATTTAACATTATTTTGCAAAAAAACTCCTAATTGTTATTATCTCCAATATTAAAACATTATGTTGTATTTTATTCAAAAGATCGTTCAATTTTAACATCTAACTTAATTTAGTTTTGTGGATAAATGCATGCTATCATATATACCTTATAAAATAGTGATGGTATCGATTGTATGCGCAATGGGTTTGTTTGATTTAAATAGTTACTTAGCTTCGTATTTCATTATTTGTTTATCATTGACTTACTAATGCGGAAGCGTATATAGTACCACCGGTTGTACGGTGCTCACCGTACAGCCGGTGGCATTTTTGTAATTTATATGAAATTCGCGTCTCGTACTAAATGAGTATTAAACCACGCCTAGTGAGCAAGTGACATATTTTGTTGAGCATTAGAAGCATAACATTGAGCATCGTGATCTCTGCTTCATCTCTTCGAAATTACTTTCTTTTCCTTATTTTTTTCTTTAAAAAAACTTATTAAATTATATCTATAATCAACTCTTATGAACTCCAGTATGCGAATTTAATGCAATATGATACTTTTGAAATATACATTGTTATGTCATATTACAAATGAGCATAACATGAATACCTGTTGAGCATACATAACTTATAAAATGAGAATTGATATGAAAATCATAAGTACTTTTAATTGAACATCAAGACATTTTTATTGAGCATCAACTTGAAAAGTATCGCCAATGATTTTCATTATGCGATTGTGATGAACATTGAGTCTGTTCTTTTTAAATGAGCATAAAATAACACCAAATGAGCATATGTAACTTACAAAATGAGTATCAAAAGATTTAAAAGTCCATTTGTGTATGCTCATTCATTTTGACCTTATACTCATTTGAGTTTAACATTAATATGATACGTTTGAAACGAGTATAAAGAGGTACCAAATGAGCATACATAAATCACAAAATGAGTATAGAAAATTCAAAAGATCATTTGTGTATGCTCATTCATTTTCAGTTGTATACTCATTTGAGTTTTACATAAAACTCATTTTTAATATGCTCGATATTTATTTGTGTATGTTCATTCTTTTTAAGCTTATACTCATTTGAGTTAAATATAAACTCATTTCAGATTCGTCATCAAGAAATATGAACTCAAATCTCCTAAATCATCTTCCAATTTGTCTTCCCTGCATACTTCTTCCCGACCAACAAAGAAATCACCTAGAGCCGCCGTCTCTTGCGTAGCTCTGCTAGAGGAGAAGAGAGTGGCGAGAGGAGAGCTTGAGGAGAAGAGAGCTGTCAGAGGAGTTGCTTGCTGGAGCTTGAAGTTCTTCGCAAGCACCGCAGAAGCAGGACGAAGCAGGGACGGAGATCGGAGAAGCCAGGCGAGAAGCAGGGAAGAAGATCGAAGAAGCGCAGAAGTCCTAAAAAAAGACCGGCTGTACCGTGCGCACGGTACAGCCGGCTGTACGGTGTATTTTACCTACTAATGCCACCACGGCACCACCATTCTCCATCAATAATGCCTTTGATGACATCTTCAAAACAAAATTTGCATTTCCGATTAATAATGTTATCTTGATGATGAGGAGCGGCGAAGGGGAAACCTTAGCCGCCTCCTCTCCTTCCTCTCTCTTTGTTCAATTTTTTTTTTTACTCCAATAATGAAAAAAGTTTCATTAGATCAATATTTTCATTTCTATGTATACGTCTGTTTCCTAGCGTTGTCTAGAGATACTACTTTCGATGGCGAAGTGTCGCTCGCCAGATTTATATTCCCCGCCATTATCGGTCGGGTGTTCTTGAGTGTTAGTAAGAGATGTGTATTGGCTTCTCTATCGATCATGATCTTCTGTATCAATATAGAGGCCGATCGCCCTCCTCCTAAACCACCGCCGATCAAGTAAGATGTGAGTGAATGGATTGCTTTCTTTCCAGTGGCTGGTGAAACCGGAATAATTTCTGCACTTGACTCCTTACCGGTGGCTGAAAAAACCGCCAAGTTTAACAAATCCTTTTTGGTGACTGGTCAAACCGGACCTATTTCGAGTAGCACGAGCAGTCAAATTGCGGGACGAGTCTACATAGTTGTAGAGTTAGCGAACATGATAGCTTTTATATAACTTTTTTGTTCTTTGTCTCACCCTAATGTAGTATTGAACGCTGTGATTGTAATGTTTCGGCTTTTGATTGTTATGTTTCTGGACTTCTGGTTAACCTTATCAATAATAATTAAGTTATTTGATTTTCAAAAATGTTACCTTACTTTGGGAACATGATATTTTAACAAAATGGCATTTTTCCGGACTTCTAAAGGTGGCACTGCTAGAACTGTGATAGAGGCCTGCATATATTTCCATTATATTTTTTAATGATTTGTGTTTTATATTTTATGTTTTTTTATAAATGTAAAGTACGAAGTATACTTTTATTGTTGTTATGTTTTTATTATAAATGATAAATATGATTTTATTGAATAACATATGATTTGGTGAATTAGAGTAAAAGAGATGAAGTATTCTTCCATATTGCCAATGGCCAAATCGGCCAGAATAAATACACAGCTACAGGCGATCAAATTGGATCGGTAGAACTCAAACAAGGAAACAAATTTTAACGTAAATAAACTTCTACCCTTAATAGAATACTATCCTTATTTAATTAAATATCTCCTAATACCCCCCCTCAAGTTGGCGCATGGGGATTTAAAATGCCCAACTTGCGTAGAAGAGTGTTGATAAGCACAATAATTACTTATGTTTTACATAAGTAATTACATTTATCTGTACAAAAATGTGAAGCAAAAACAGATAAATATTCTCGAGTTAGCGGAAACATGAAATACGACATGGAGCAATGAAAATAGGGTCAAAAATCAAAAGGGATCGAAAACCGGCACTTCGGGATCAATTTCGGGCATCAAACGAAGAAAAGAAGCGAAGTACAAGTTTGGGCGCAGGGACCCGGCGCCGGATGCCCCATGACCGGCGCCGGTCGTCAGGACTTTTTGCCCAATTCGGGCCTGTTTCCAACCGGCGCAGCACAACCGGTGCATTTTTGCACCCAACCGGCGCCGGACATGCTATAACCGGCGCTGGTTGTTCCGATTTTTTGCTAAAACAGTCCGACGTGCAGAAGATTTCTGATGGGAAAAACCCATCTTCCTCCATATCTGATCAAATATTGCTTACATACCCGATTGTTAGGCTTGAATAGACGAAAAGATGCCATTCTTTAGCCTATATAAAGCCCTTAATTCATCAAGTAATTACATCCCATTTCATAGATTAATTCTTAGTCTTTATACTTTGTTTTTGCTTTTGTTCTTCAAGTTCTTGAGGAGGAAACTTCAACCTCCGAAACCATTGGTGTTTAGGTATTATTTCCTTTGTAATTTCATGTTCCATTACATTTCAATATTGTATTGTGATTAATATGAGCATTAGAGGCTAATTTCTTAGCTAAGGCTAGGGATGAACCTCTATGCATGTTAGGTGTTTGATAAAAGTTCTAAACCAATAAATTGTGATTTATCCTTTATATTTTGATTGTTAATGACTATGGTGTACAACATAGAAGTATGTTAAATTTAGTTTATGCTTGCAATTAACGTTGAAGTCTAAACTATGAACATTAAAGGATAAACATATATAGTATCGAAAATAGAAATATATCCGGTCTTATATGATACGGATGTGATGTCTTGATATTCAACGGGGTTTTCGGTAGATGAATGTAAGCCGTAACGGGACTTACAGTAACGAAAACCACGCTCTCGCTGCCTTAACCGGAGTTGAGAATATATTAGCGACATCGTATTCACGATTATTGGGAAAGAACTATTATTAAATAACTATTAAAGCATTTAGGTGAATCCCGATTGCCTTAGTAATTCTCATTCTTGTTTAAATCAACCTCAAAGAGCAAAGTTCCTGAAAAACTATACCATTTATGTCACGCCCCGGACCGCGTCCCCGCCACGTAGACAACCGCCGTACAACCCAATAAGAACAACGTAGTTCATTCTTATCAGATCATACAAGGCGTCTGTTAGATTCTTTTGCCAAACCGATTAGTAAACCCATACAATCAACATCAATATATATTAGTCAAACAAATGCGGAAAATAAGATATGTTTGATACTTAGCCACACGTGGCAAATACGGGCACGCAGGCCCCCCAAATGTTTTAATAGAAAACATTGTTAAAAATATCCATGAGCAGTTGCATTATTTCAAATGAGAATGGAAGCACGAACCACGTCTTCCTCCTTGATCAATCACCCTAGGCAAAGGTGCAGGTAGTAGGACTCTAGCCTCAACCTGAAAAATGTGAGGGCCCCCGAAGGGGTCAGTACTCCATAGAAGTACTAGTGACAAGCAGGCTATATGAGGAATAACTAATGTTTCAGACACGAGACCCAAAAATAGGGTGATACATATACTTATAGGTGTAACCATTGTTACCCCGTTCCCAAGATAATACATACTGTATATACTTGTAAAATACTTGATCCGTAGGTCGTTTTATCACAAAGAGTCTTTTAGAGATAAGGTACTTCCCAACCTATCCCTTTTCCATTCCTGAATGCCTAGCTTGAGAGCTACATTCTACCTTCATAATATCCTACCGAGTTTCAGGAGTGTTTACCCTCCCGGGGATGCTCAACCCCACCGAGTTTCTGGGATTGTTTACCGTCCCGAGGATACTCAACCTCACCGAGTTTCTGGGATTGTTTACCGTCCCGAGGATGCTCAACCCCACCGAGTTTCTGGGATTTGTTTACCGTCCCGAGGATACTCAACCTCACCGAGTTTCTGGGATTGTTTACCGTCCCGAGGATACTCAACCTCACCGAGTTTCTGGGATTGTTTACCGTCCCGAGGATACTCAACCTCACCGAGTTTTGGGATCATTTACCGTCCCGAGGATGCTCAACCTCACCCTTATTTCTAACCAAACCCTAACCTGGATATGGCTAACCTTTCATTCACTTAACTATGGACAATACCTAGTCCTATAGTCATATAATAATCCTTAGTAACCAACGTGGACGGGTCCCACCTGATCGGTCCACGTTATCCTACTCAAAAGCTACCCGTTTTGAGTATAAACCAATACCCGGTCGGGTATCCACCTTACCCGGTCGGGTAGGACGGGTCAGAAGCCCCTGGAAACAACTTTACTTGAGACCCGGTCGGGTCCATGACCTTACCCGGTCGGGTCTAGTGTGGCAGTGGCTTCTGGAGCCATTTTTAATCAATACCCGGTCGGGTATCCATCTTACCCGGTCGGGTATCACCCTTGTCTCGGCGGTCAACGCCCGTTTGACCGCCCAAACGAAGTCCGATTAACGTGAAATTTTATATGCACATTCTACTTGAAGTCCTTGATCCAAAAATACCATTTTTGACCCCTGGATCATTGTACATAATAAGTTATCACATTTGTAATCACCAAACATACAAACATGCCTTTCAACTTTGTTTTATATATATTCATGGCATAAGCTCATACTTGATTAACTTTAATCATTCCGTAAAACATATCCTTGATTACTTTAGGTAATCTCATGCCTCAATCAAAAGTTATAAGGCATATAGCCGTCTTCTCACCTTAATGAAGCTTATGGAGTTCTAGCCCTTCCCGATTGAGCTCCGGTGAAACTCCGGTGAACTTCAATGAACTCCGGCGACAACTCCGGCAACTCTTTCAACTCCGTGAAAGTTCTTGAAGTACCTTATACAAGTTAATAACAAGGTTTTATCATCATAAAACCCATATCACCACAAATAACCTCCCGAAGGTTATTTTCCGGTGAACCCGTCAACTTGTCTCTCAAGGTTCGTTTTGGGTATAAGCCAACCCTTCAACCCCCATTCTACACTTTTACATGTGTAGAACTATCCTAGGAGTGTGAAATATGATTAAGGAGAAGAAATGGGATTCATGAAGTCCTTACCTTGCTAACCACAAGCTTTCTCCACCCGAAACTCCTCTTTTCTCTTCTCTTTTATCCTCCTTCTTCTTCCTCTTGGTTTGGTGCGTGTATGGAGGATGAAATGGAGTCTTTTGCAGACCTTCTCTCCTCAATGCATCTGGTCTGGACGAGGGACAGGGGCTGGGGTGGTTGTGAATAGCTCTTTTGGCTCATTCATCAATAATATGGGGGAGAGGGACCCCTTTTCCTATCAACTTGGTCTCCAATCACTTCCACCCTCTTTCCCCTTGATATGGTGCGGATCCCCTTGATATTTTGCAGCTCAAGGTCGTGGGGTGGCCCCCACTCATGTGGGAGGTCATCCCTTTATGTCCCCGAGTGTACACTTGGTCCCGAAAGTTGTATTTTCTGGACTGTTTTAGCTATATTTCATTTTATCGGTTCAAATGAAATGTGTATCATTCTTCCAACTATTATTGGCCATTAGATTGAATGTATATTCCCCAACTTTAATTTGATGGTCTCCATAATTTATTATGGCTTTTTTTATCTGATATCACTTCGGTACCGATAAATGGGCTTTATATGCCCAAAAGGTTACTCACATAACTTCTATGGCCCAACCCGGCTATCCACCATTATACACATATTATCTTGACCCAAATGAATATAATATGTGGTCCCGATAATATCGGGCGGCCCCCACTTCCGGTGTGGGC